TTCTTTTTTCTTTATCTGATTAGTTAGTCTCCTGGGTTTGTGGTGTAAACCTTAACACCCCAACCAAGATTCAGTTACAAGAATCACAACCGAGCAAAGCACAAAACCTCAACCCAGATGAATGCTGCAATATACTAACCTGAAGAGTTTTCACTCGACGAACCATGAATGCTTGAATCAAAAAATGCGCAGTAACTCTTCTCCTCCCTGTCAGAATACCTTATGCTCAAATTAAGAATAGTGCTTAGTTCCAAAAGAGCGTAATTCTGTGAGAGTAGAGATCACAATATATACAGATACATATAACCTTCTCATAATTTAATGAAGACTCCCTATTAGAATCCATATAGAAAACAACTTATGTTTCCTATCATATCTCAGTTCCAATGCTTCAACAAAATTCTTTATCAACAAGAATTAACCCACATCTTCTAATAAGGCTTTCCTAATTGGACTCCCGATGCCAAAATATCTAATCTCATATTCATATTCTTACATCGGGTTGTTATATATCATAACCTCTTAACTCTCAAGACACTGCATTGACATATCCGCATTTTTTATTAAGTTTTTAAATACGTTAATTGATGATTAACACTCCCTAAAGTTCTCTAAATCTCAACTTTTTGGAGCAAATTTCCACCATTTCAAGTTTTACAGCTTAATTAATGAGAAACTTCTATTATCATCATGCGAGATTGTTTTGTTGCTATCGTTGATGTGATAATTTCTTAAGATAAAAACTCATGATGGAAAATTGTATCTTGTAAGGTCTCTTTTGTCGTTCAAAAAATGTTTATACATTGACCTCTCGTAGAAAAATTCATGAATCCACCACTATATATATATATATATATATATATATATATATACACACACGTCTGCAAACTCATATGAGACACACGGATGAGATACACAAATGTTGATAAAATCACAAGAAAAATGATTATGCTAGCCGCAGTTGGTCAGGACGCAAACACATTCACTAATGATTGTGGCCCTATGTTTGTGCCACAAAAATCAACAACTAGAATAACATTCCTGGTGAAGATACACGGGACTGACATTAGCACAACTCCAAGAAATGGAGAGGGGCAAACCCGTTGTTGGGAATTTTAGTGCTACAATTTGATCAAGAATTGGGTGTGGGGGTCGATCATATGCTTAAACAACTGACCCAGCATTGATACAAACCATGTTCACTCTAACCTCCAATGTCTTTCAGAAAGGAACCCAACCCACCATTTTAGGCCAGGCCAGACTAGCTGAACTGGAATTTTTGGGCCTTGGTTAGTACTTGCTGGACTCGTGCCAATCAGCCCTCTTGTTTCTTCAAGCCTAAAACTAAAACTATATGGAAAATCTTCTGTTATCTCTCTATGAAATAATTCTTTCAATTTCATGGTTCATTTCTAAATGTACCGATGTTTTTTGACATAAAACTCGCAATTAGAAGCTCAATGAGCCATTACCTACCTTTAGTATTGAGCCTAGTAGGCTAGTAGTTAACTTCAGGGTAAAATAGATCTAAATTTTAACCGTCTATATATATTTAGTATCAATGCAGGCAGGTGAATAAGGAGATTAAAGTGAATATACGTTCTAATAAATTCCTACAAAGTGCTATGGTTTATCAATTATCATAACTGAGGTGGCATCAATTGACCGAAATGGAGTAAGATTCTTCTTCCCTCCAGTCCCCTTATCAATCATTTTCCTCTTTTCCTTTCTCTTTTATTATAGAAATCAACATAAAATATTAACGTGGTTTAATTGTAACTGTTCAAATAGAAGAAGATTGAAAATGAAGGAATTTAGAAAGAAAAAAAGGGAGAATCCTACTCCCTACTTGAATTGGTGAAAGCAATAAAATTAGAACCCCACCACTTTAAAATGTTGTATTAATTTTGGTTGTGGAAGAGTGAAAGCGTCTTCATTCAACAGATTAATGGAATTCATACATGACCATCCTATTTAAAATGATGCATCTCTGTCGGGAAGAAAAAGTTACTAATTGAGATGTATTCGCTGTGAAAGTTAAGTTACTTACACTGGGTTAGATGGACACTAATTAGGATAATGCTAAAGCGATTAAATTTGTTAACTAAATTTTGTAAACTAAATGATATGGAAGCTGATGATTTGATTATTGCTTTAATGTTGATTAACGTGCTTTTTTTTTACTGGTGACATATCATTTAATCAGCAAATTTAGTCAAGAAATTTAATCAGCATTGCTCATTAAGCAATACCATTAGAAATAAAAGAAAACTAATGAAAAAAGTTTGAAAACTTTGAGTTTTAACGATAAGAATAAAATAAAAGATAAAATGAATAGTATCAAGTTTGACTTTTTAATGTAAAAACGTGATTTTTAGTTAAAGTAAACAGTACCGCAGACTTTTCGTTAAAATTTCGTAGAAATAATTTATTCACATGTAAAGTCTAGTGATCAGGCGTACTTTCACACTAGCCAACAAAAATTGAGCAAATGTATACATAAGCCGTGGCAGATCAAGGGGTTTTGTAGGTTCCAAGACTTGCAGAAGTTGGGAAATTGATGTTGCCGGAGGGCTCTGGGGCTATCTGGTATGAAACTTGAGAATGCCCATAAATCGTTCAGTGAAATGTCTCTTAGGCAGAATTTGGCGGCCCTTGACAAGTGATGCTCAACAAGTCTTGGGATAAGACTTGGCAGATGATGTTCAGCATCAGGTCTTGTAAGTTCTTGATAGAACTAGAAAGATAACGACATACCCACCAAATACCTGATTAAATGCCTCAATGAAAAAATAAAAATTTTGGGCGTTGCCCTCATTTGGATCTTTTACTTTGGGACTCCACAAGGTTAAAGTCTTAATGAGATCCTCCATTGAACACAAAACACACCACATGTCAGGGTTGTGTAGAGAAACTACACTACTTTCATCGCACAACCACAGAGCGGACAAAATAACTTTAAAATATGCCCCATCTTAGATACAAAAATATTGCGTAATGTGCTTAAAAGATCTTAGATCTCTCCATGCGCTGCTAGTTTAGAACAATACTTGGCTACTAAAAAATAAGTAGGAATTCCTACTCAAAACTCTTAGTGTTTTAATCATAGAACTTTGTGTCTATGATCAGAATCGTTCATACTATGAATCACACTATAAAGATCATCTCTGCAAAAAATAAATTAAAACTAAGGTCATTTAGTCAATCTATTGTAGCAAATATATAGACGGTTTGTAATACTTTTACCAATTCCGTTCATTTGTTTTTAAACAGTTTGTTGACTAAACGACATTAGTCTTAATTATTTTTTGCAAATGCGACCTTTATAGGGTGATTTAAAATATAGATGGTTCTGATTATAAATACAACGTTTTATAAATTGACAACAAACAATTTTAAGAAATTTTGAAACGAGTTTCTACTCATTTTTTTAGTAACCAAATATTGTTCGGCAGTTTATATTTATGTTGATTTACCTTCTAAAAGACTAAACCATATAGTTCCTAACTTCATATACAAATTTTCAAAAGCCAATGATTTACATTTAACTCGCATCAAAATATTTAAATTCACCATCGATCGATCTACACAAGAAGAAAAGTAGCCAACTTTTTTTTTCCTTTTTTCCCTTAGTATTCAAAAGCAATTAACTTTCCTCCTAAAAAAATTTGGAAGTGGAAACACACACGCATCACACTTCACAACAATGGAAACTCACGGATATGCAATACCGCCGCATGCCACCATCCATCGTGTAAATGGCCACGTCCTCTCGTACGAGGGAAAATTTTTAGTTTGCCAAGAGCACAGTGTGGAATAACAAATGTCATAATATAATAGGTAATGTTAGAGAGACTAAATTTTTAAATAAATTTTGGAAAAGAACATGAAAGTTGATGATTAGTTTGATAAATGTACTCATTTCCATTAGTGACACATGTCACATCCCGGCCCGAGCCCCCACCACAACCCGGGCCCGATCCACCACCGTAGCACGATATTGTCCGCTTTGGGCCCCGACCACGCCTTCACGGTTTTGTTTCTGGGAACTCACACGAGAACTTCCCGATGGGTCACCCATCCTGGGAGTGCTCTCGCGCGCTACTCGCTTAACTTCGGAGTTCCTATGGAACCCGAAGCCAGTGAGCTCCCAAAAGGCCTCGTGCTAGGTAGGATGGGAATATACATTTAAGGATCAGTCCCCTGGGCGATGTGGGATGTTACAACACATCAATTAGTTTGCACATTTTATCTCTAAATTTGGTCTTCCTAGTATTACCCTATTCTTATTTAAGCGTTGATAAACGTGTTTATTCTTATTGATGATAAATAATTTAGTTTGCTAAATTTGTCGAGTGCATTTTTGCTCACCACAATTTAGTGTGGTGTATGCTTACCACCCTATTTATTACTGTTAGATGAGTTTGAATTTTGAGATTTGTGCTTATTTACTACACGAATCTTAAAATTCAAACTCATCTAAAGGTAATTAATAGGGTGGTGATAAGCAAAAATGCTCCCAAATTTGTTTACAAATTTAGTTTCCCTAGTATTACCGTAATATAATTAGTTGAAACTTTGTTTTTCAAGTTTCTAACCAATTGTATTATGACAATCAGGTATCGGGCCGTTCTTTCGACACATTAAAAAATCTCTCCTCGTATAGTCTAAGAATTTCTCAATGTGTTCGAACACAGAGTAAAATACCACATGTTATTGTACAATTAATTGAACTCTTAAAAAAAAAATATTTATAATAACACGTAGAGTTTAGCCTCTTATTCCGTATTTCTTACTCTGAAAATTTTCTCCTCACGGAGTCCCACGGCCCCACAACCCGGCCCCACACTATTGTACAATTAATTGAACACTTAAAAAAAAATATTTATAATAACACGTAAGAGTTTTGCCTCTTATTCCGTATTTCTTACTTTGAAAATTTTCTCCTCACGGAGTCCCCCGGCCCCACACTATTTAACCCCACAAGCATCTCTCTCCCTCTCTCTGTCCATCTTCCCAACCAGACAACAAGCCCACAAATTAAAGAGGCCTCAGAGTCAGTTGTATTTTGCTTGTTGGTTATATAGGAAAATGGCCTCTTGCGTATCGGACACGGCTCGGTCCCTCTCCTGCCGGGACGGACGCGCCGCCGCTCACCTCAAGCTAATCTCAATCTCCGTCATCTTCGTCACCAGCGTCATCGGCATATCGTCCCCCGTCCTCCTCTCCCGCTACTTCCAAGGCAAGCCAGCGTACGACAAAGCAACGCTCGTCATCAAGTGCTTCGCCGCCGGCGTCATCCTCTCCACCTCCCTCGTCCACGTTCTCCCCGACGCCTTCCTAGCACTCAACGACTGCCACGTGTCCTCCCACCACCCCTGGAAGGACTACCCTTTCTCAGGGCTCGTCACAATGGTCGGCGCCATCATTGCCCTCCTCGTCGACCTCACGGCCACCTCACACATGGAATCCCACTCCGCCGGCGGCGGCCACGGTCACGGCGGATACGAGGTCGTGCCGGTGGGGACGCGGGATGAATTGGTGGGGAAGAATAGCAATTTGAATGGTAAGAATAGCAAATTGTCGATGGATACGGAGGTGGCGGTGGCGGTGGGTGTGGGGAGTAATAATGGTGGGGGTAGTGAGGAAATGTTGATCCGGATGAAGCAGCGGCTTGTTTCGCAGGTGTTGGAAATCGGGATTATTTTCCACTCGGTGATAATTGGGGTGACGATGGGGATGTCGCAGAACCAGTGCACCATCCGGCCGCTGGTCGCTGCGCTGTCGTTTCATCAGATCTTCGAAGGGATGGGACTCGGGGGATGCATTGCTCAGGTAAATTTATTAACAAATATCTTAATAATTTGATTTTTTTTTACTTAATTAATTAATGAACATATCCATGCTAATCAGAAAAATGAAATGATTTTAGATACAAAAATGACGACATAGATTTTGTTGTTTGTTACTTTCTCTAAGTTTACGGGTCTCTGATTTTCATTTGTGGATCGGAGAAATTTTCAATATATCGGAAACATGCCCCAGTGCACCACAAAACAATTGGTCGGATACTTGATGTATCATGTCGTAGTTTATACACTAAAAAATATCTCATTTGACTGATCATACTGTTAGAATTCTAGGTCATTATTGTTTGAAAATTCTAGTATGCTCCGTTGTGATTAAAATTCAGATGGTTTCAAAATTGATTTTAATTCTAAAACTGACATATTGAATATGCGAAGTAAATGTTCCAAATCAATGTGCTCGTATGGGCAAGCTTTATTTGTTTTTTGTTCGAAAATTTGCACATTATTTGTACGTGAATGTTTTGATGAATATTTTTATGTCCGAAAAATTGACACAATTTTTTGTTTAGTGGTCGCGTGTGAAGCACTTGCAACTTTTTTAACGGAACGATTTATCGAATTAGTAAGTGACATGGAGCAATAACTTTTATTTTAATGGAGGTGGCACGTACTTTCTTTCTTTTTTTTTTCCTTTTTTTTTTTTTTTCTTTTGCAGATTTGCTAAATGGCTTAAAATTCAGATGATATTGGTATAAGTTATTAAATTATTTTAAAAAACAATGTAACTTTAGATAATGCTGCAAAATCAAGCACCAACTAAAAGCAGAAGTTTAGTGTAATATAAAAGTGGGTTTATAAAGTACACAAACGATATTATACATTATCACCTGCATGCACAAAAATAACAAAGCAAATAGCTATCATATGATTCGAGGAATATTCATGTAGTGCGCAAAATCTCAGTCCCTAGAACACGTGGCTTATAAAATTCGTAACAAACTAAAGTCACACGTAGAGATATGAGTTAGGTCAATTGAAAAATTTGTCTTGGACATGCATTCTATTCCTCCTAGTAAAATAGGAGAATAACTTACATGATATGACATGGCTAACATCGTCACGCACCCACGTTAACGTCTTATGTAAATAAAATGAAGACATCAATTAAAATGTATATGTGTTTTTATTTCATTGACATGAAACGCTACCTGTGCCATATAAGTATTTCTCATAAAGTAAAGACTTCTCTATATGTTTTTGACAAACAAAGCAAGTGCTCTTACATAACATGCGCTTCATGTGCTTCGTTGCAGGCAGGATTTAAGTTCGGGACAACAGCCTACATGTGCTTCATGTTTGCAGTGACAACGCCAATGGGGATAGTATTGGGCATGATCTTGTTCTCGGTGACAGGTTACGATGATAGTAACCCTAAAGCCCTAATCTTGGAGGGTTTGTTAGGGTCGTTCTCCTCGGGCATACTTATCTACATGGCTCTGGTCGATCTCATAGCTCTGGATTTCTTCCACAACAAGATGATGAGCTCCAATTCATGGATGCGAAAAACATCGTACATCGCTCTTGTTCTTGGCTCTACCTCTATGTCCATCCTTGCCCTTTGGGCATAGAATTTGCTCCCTTTTTTAATTAGCTAAGGAAAAGAAAATTCATGCCATGGGTTGCATAATGTTTAGTTTGAAATGTGAAATGATTGTTGATAGGTGCCCGGTAGCACAATGTTGTAATCACATCTTCATTTGGATCTTTGTAAGAAGTAGAGGAAAGAAATCGAAAATGTGAACATCAATCGGGCGATAGGGTAAAGCTTGTGCCCGCTATATCTTGTATCTCAGTCGTGTAAGATGACATGATTCTACCTAGAGGTTCCAAACACTAACAATATATATCGTTCTCGCATCATGTTTGAAAAGTAAAATTTTATTTATCAACGAAAATGATAATCTGAATTTGGATTTGTTAGTTTCAATTACATTGGAGATTGGATAGCACTATCACTACCAAATAGTTTGGACTAACATGATGCGAAAGAAGCTATTTAATTATTTAATTTACGAGGAAATTTGTAACTCGATTGCTTAAATCATTTATCTTTTATCTTTCACTCTGACTTGGACAAAATATAAGAAATAGCCAACCAAACGTTGGCCCACGTTCATTATCGTTACTTTACCATGCACTGTTAGTTTCTGCCTTCTATGTCATCTCCAACTACACATATTAAAGTAAAGGTAGATGGAATGCAATTATATCTACCCCAGCCAATTAAATAGATTGACATGTTTTGCTCAATTGAGAATTCAATTGACAGCTTCTTGAACTGAAAGGTGGAAATGGGTCGGATCATGTCGTCACGGATTTACGTTTTCACGTGCCGGGTTTGGGGCTGTCGAGTTATTCTTTCTACTTTTCTTTTTTTCTTTCCTGGTATTGAGGTTAATAATAAAGAAAATGAAGTTGAGATTTTCACCTCCAAAACAAGATTCTTTAACTTTTTGATGCGAGACTACTCTGTGCATACTCACATGTCCCAAGTCCCTTTACATGCAGCAACAGTAAGTAAAAAAATATGGACAACACATATTGAATGATGTGAAGCACTTGTTATACAAGTAAACGATTGTAAAAGTAATTGCCCCGGTTGATGCACAAGCAAACAATTACAATCCCTTTTTGCCCTAGTTCAAATCGAAGTCTTGATTTTAATAGATGTCTTCCTTGGTATGCTTAATGTAATTAGAAAAGTTTGAGTAATTATATTAGATGTCTGCCGTAATTAGGAAAGTTTGTAAATGCATGATACGAAGTTCAAGCAATCAGGAAATTAGATATGTTTGTTGTAACTAAGAATCGTTTTCTTTAATTAATATTTAGTACATGTGTGATTAGGTAAATCTTAAGTAATTTGGAGTTAAGATTAATTTTTATTTTAACGATTCTTTCTTATTAGATTTTGTATTAATTGAGTAACAAATTTCTCTCTTTTTACGGTTTACTATAAATAAAGCTTACACAAGAAGACGTAACTTTTATTCTAGCGATTCTTCCTAAAGGCACTGGTACAAAAAAATACATCCTATACTCGATTTCACAAGAAGACGTAACTTTTCTCTCCTAACTTAGAAGATGACTCACATCCCTCAAGCTATTTGCAACGCACTAAATGGTTGTGGGATGCGTTCCCAACAGTGGAGGTACATCGGTGAGGTGACATTTTCTGGAGACGATATAGGAATCGGATCCTCTCCGGATCTATATATTATGAGCTTGTTGAGTAGGCAATCCGTGCCGTTGAAATTTGATTTAACGGCTACAATTATTATAACTTTTAGAGGGCCCCCTATTTGTAGCCGTTGAATCAAATTTCAACGACCCGGATCGTTTGCTCAGCAGACTCATGATATATGGATCCAAAGGGTATCCGGTTCCGACAATATAAGCTAAGATTTTCAGAGTAAGATTATCTCCCCTCCTATTCTCATCTCCTCCTCTCCCCTCCTCTCACATATTGTTTTTTGTCTTATTGTCTCTATAAAAAAATCAATATAAGATGTTGACGTGGTTAACTGTAATCTTTCAAATAAAAGAAGAGGAAAGGGGAAAGATATTAGGAGGGGAGATAATCCTACTCCAAGATTTTCGGCCTATAGCGCTACTCCCGACAACTGAATACTTATGTGGTGTAGACATTACCAAGAAACTTGAAGTACTTTTCATGGGGCCTTCGCTTGTGCAAGAAAGATTAACCCTACGCGAGTTGGAAAATCATGGGTTTTGCATAACTTATGGTTGGAAACAGACTGTGAGAAAGGAGAGATTTGTTCAATGTGGGAAGGTGCATCTATGGGCTTTTAGAGAGGAGGACGATGACCTTTGGTTTATATGCATAACGTATGATGGATTTTAGTCATATCGTTTAGGATTTTAAAACAACATTTGAAATTATGTAATAAAAATCGGACATTTCAATTACTGTTTGTATTATCTCGTTTTTAAATTGGAATGTGATATCCACACACCTCATTTTACTTCTCACACACCTTTTTAATTTTCGACCATCGGATCGAGTGAATTGAAGAAGATCAACAAACAGAAATTATCAAGGGGTGTGTGAGAAGTAAAATAGGGTGTGTGGATAGCATACCTTTAAATTTTAAAGAGCTCTAGGGTTTTCCTTTTAGTGTCTGTATAAGCTTTTTGGCTGTCTATGTAATCTCATCAGTTCAGTCTTTAATCAAATAACTCATTGAGATTTCTCCCAAATTGGTGGAATCCAAACTTTTGGTTCTTCAAGGATTTACATTTGTAAACCTTTAGCTTTGTGTTGTATAATATAGTTGGGTAATTATGGTTTCCTTTGCATTAATCTCTCTACTAATAAACCAAAAGAAAAAACAGAATTGACATAAACTATACACTTATTTTTGCATTCTCCTTGGAACTTGAACTTAATCCTACTTCTCCCTCAAAAACAAAAATAATGCCACCTTTTAAAACATCATTGAAAGATTGAGGCTATATGGTTTAACCACTAGAAGCACGCATATGGCGTTTAGATTGACAACATTAGCACAAAGCTTCATTCTGTGTTTCACTCAAGGAAGTACTTTAAGTTTCTGTTATCACTCTACCATTAGCGGATTAGTGTAAGTTTTGGTTGTGCCCTGGTTCGGTGGATTCTCTTCTCAGATAACGGTAGGTTTTGTTTGCACCGCGTTAGCGGGTGATATGGTCTTACCTTTGAGCGATGGCTTGATATGGTTTCGCCTTTGAGCTATGATTCTATGTGATCTCGCCTTTCATCAATGATTCTATGTGATCTCGCCTTTCATCAATGATTTTATGTGGTCTTGCCTTTCAGCAATGATTTTATATGGCCTTGCTCTCCAATGATGACATTGTGTGGCCTCACACATCAACAAAGATCGGTGTGTGCACTAGTATAGGTTTGTCGCATCTATCATTCTATGTTAGGGTTTTAATTAATTGCTTGTTTATGCAAATTTACTCTAGATATTTGCTAGTCTCTAAAGCAATGTACCAAATTGGCACCCATGCATTTGTTTGTGGTGATCAATGAAATACCGCTATCATTTCTTGTCAAAAAAAGAAAAAAAAAGTTTATGTTATCACTCTATCATGATATTTGGTTATTAATTTGTATCTACTTTGTGACCAAACGTTTAATTTCAATTGTTACTCTTTCTCTACATTCAATAGAATCGATATAGTTATGTTGTATTTTCAGAATTTCGCATAAAGAGATGGATGAGATTGATAATTAGATGAATTTTTATTTGATCGAGCAACACAATACAGATTGGTTGTTGATCTATGCATCTTACAAACATGTAATTAATTGAGTGTTTGTAACTTTATTTGGGGATAAGTTAATTAGTTAGTGAAAGCAGCACAGTAAAGGTAATATTGCAAACGATAGACGTTCTTTTCCGTTCCTCTCACAGTGAGAAGTTTTTTTTGGAATGAGTTCGCCCTTTGAACACTTCAAATCAAATTATTGAAAAACAAAACCCTTACCTATATCAGTGGTTGATATAGGACGCATAAGGGATGCATAATATAGTAGTTTTGTGCAATTATAGTTGCTTCCAGGAGTTGTTTTCGAAACCAGTTTTGATGTGGATCAAGGCTGCAACAAAAAGAGGAATCGAGTTTGATGCTCATTAGGGAAAATTGGATCCGAGTTTTCTACAACTAGATTATTTGTTTGGTTTTTAAATTGCTTGACGACATAATCTAATATAAGTCGCATTGGAGAAATAACAAATAAACTGGTCCCGTAGCTCAGTTGGTTAGAGCGTTGGTCTTATGAGCCGAAGGTCGCGGGTTCGAGCCCCGCCGGGACCAATTCGGTTTATTTATTTTTCAATATCTTTGGATCCCTGATCCATTCTTTGTGAATATAAAGTGGGCCCGTAAAGTACCAATTTTTAAGTTCTAACCAACATTGACCTTGACCCAATATTTTGTCCCGGAAAGGAAAAACTTGGCCCAATATGATGTGGCTACCAAATCAAACACAATTTTGTTAGAAGAGGCCTAAACATTCTTGTTCATATCATTGAACGGGATCTAAATGTCATTTAACATAATCGAATTTAACAACTTCAAATAAGTTACTTAAGTGTGGATTTTTTATGTGCATTAGAGAAAATTTGTCTGTTGGAAAGATCTTTTTTCCTATAGGTTCAAAATCTACTTTCTTAGTTTTGGCTAAACAATAATAAATTCAATACAACGCTCAAATCATAGAAATAGTATTATGTATCAGGGATGCAGCCAACTTTTCGTGCCTAAATAACATTGAAGTGAAAGCATGCAAAATTTGCCAAAGAGCTTGATGTGAAAGCACGCAAAAGTTGCCAATATATTTATGAGTGGTGTTATTTTACACTTCTTTTTACTTTTTACGCACCTTATGTTAATTTATATTATTTAATTTTCTTCAATTTATTCGATCATCCATATATCAATACTCATTTATGACTGACGTAACAAAGAAGGAGGACATGCAAGTAGTTCAATATTGACATGTTGCACAAACACTAATGCTCACAACCACCTAACCCCGTGAACTGCCAGCCCATGAACTGCCAGCCCATACTTTTAATTAAACTAGTCTCTATCCCCCAAACTGGATAGATGACAAGTCAACCCGTTTTGTATGATTGAAAGCGTTTTTTTAACAGACAAAAATGAAAGTACTTTTAACAAAAGTGCTTATGACCGTTCGTTATGCTACAAAAGTACTTCTCAACTTGCCCGAAGAGTACCAAAAGCACCCAGCCCTCACCGTCACAACCCACAC